TGTACGCATTTATTTATTTATTTTTTTATTTTTTTCATGTTTCACTTTGTATCAGATTTTTGAAAACAATTCGGATTTAATTTTTTAATGACGGATTCTTCGGAGTCTACTGCATTATTCACCGCGCGATACTCTAATGAGGGCCTAATATTTGAAATTATTCGTGAATTAGATTTTTATCGATTTGTCTCATGCATGGGTAATGCATTCTATGTACAGCTGCAATGACGGCCGCATCGCGAGCTGCGCGTATTAGTTCTATTACATTTATATTCCCGACGTATCCTCCCGATTCGTTTCTCGTGTGTAGTAACAAACGGCGGGGCGCACGTAGTTACTGCATTATCCGTATGCAAAATAATTACGAATGGCAGTGCACGCGCGGCGGAATTTTATGTAAATCCGAAATCGCGGGCGCCCCGTCTTAAGCCACCCCGTCAGTGTTTTATTTTCACAGAATGCCAGCTTAATATCCTAATTAATGTAATTTGGTTTCTATACCGGGAGCAACTTCCTCTCGCCACCGATTTCTCGCGCGTCCTCTCGCCCCGTGTCACCCTCGCCCCCATTTACTCCGGCTTCTCCACCCGACGGCGGCCACCCCCTTTCCGGCCACCGAACGGCCCGATGGTCATCTAAACTTTTCCCGTAATTAGTTATAAATTTCATTCCCGTTCTACGTAACAATATTCCTATGCGACCTCGCTGGAACACCGTGTAGTCGCGGTGGTCGCGCAGAGTAGAAAACGCCTGGGGAGTGGGATAGAGAGAAAGAGGATGAACGGGAGAGAGGGACAACTTTAGAGGAGAAAAAAAACGAGGAAGAAAGACGAGCGAGATGAGAGAGAAGGAGACGCTGAATTTCGCTTCCCGCCAGCAGTAGTGCCTGTCAGAAGTACGGAGGAAGGGGTGAATGCCCCAAGAGGAGGGATAGATGACACGGCTGGAGGGGGTTGATGGAACCCGGACGATCGGAGAGAGAGGGGGGCGAAGTGGTGTAGGCCAGCAACGGGGTCGGCAAGAGGGACGGCGACGCAGCGCGCGCTAACGAACGAACGAACGAACGAACGAACGAACGAACGACGAACGGACGAACGAACGAACGAACGAACGAACGAACGAACGAACGAACGAACGAACGTGGTATAAAGAGAGCAGGATGGAGAAAATTCGAGCCCTCTACATCCTCTAACCAAGTAGAGGAGCCTGGTGGGGGTGGCGGCCATTTTGTGAGCCGCGAAAAACAGCCCTCCCCGAGATAGCGCGAAGGGGGTTTCTGCCACCGAACCCAGCGGCCACCACTCCTCCTCCCCTCTCGGCTCTCTTTCCTTCTCTCTCTCTCTCTCCTCTTTTCTCCAACCATCCCTCCAAGAGCCACCCTCGAACCCCTCGCACCCTTGCACACGTACACGCGTATTTCTCTCGGGCGCTCTTATTCGCACCGTACTTCCTACGACCCTGTATTAAGAGCAAAATGTGGACGAACATTAGACACTAACGCTCGTTTAAAAATACATTCGTATTTGCGAACTCTCTGGCAGTCGGGCTCGGCTGCGCGGCATAAAGAAAGCCGAGGAGTTTCATTGCTGGCGTATGGTAGCATTGGTCCAGCGCGAAATTTTTTCGACGGAAATGAAACTTCTACTCTGCCGCTTAACTCGATTAATCGAAAAAAATAAGTCAGGTTCATAGAAATGTATTTACTGAGCTCTTATTTTATCGGACGGAGTAATCCGAAATCTATTCGAATCTTTTTTTATGAAAGATTATAAAACTACATTTCTTACAAGGTCTCATACACAAATTATATTAATTTATTCCCAAGGAGATTTCCAAAGGAGATTTGCAAATTAACAGATATTTCTTCGTCTATCAGATTCGTCTAGGAATTCAATAGCCAGTTTAAAGAGGTGCGTATTATTAAAATAATGATCGCAAAATAATTTAAGAGCGCGATGAACGTGATGATTTGATTTTTAATTAACGGCGAGTTCGTCGACACGCAATTATATATACCCCGGCGGTCTCGCGGGCGCGACATGTAATGTAACACTTAACGCGGAATTCATTATAGCGAAATAAACGAAATATATTATACTTAATTAGCACATTGTCGAATGCCGCGGCAAGACCTCATAACCCACATTTTCGTAAAATCAAATTATTGTTATTTTCGGAATCACCTGTTGGCAATACCCAATCCAATAATACCTCACGTCCCGCAGAAATCACGCGGCCACCGGCGTTATATTTCTACGCGACGATTTTTCGATATATCGCAGAATTCGTTTGCAGGCAGATTACCGTAGTACCGTAGTCTGCGTTTCGTGACCTATGAATCAAGAGTATATAATCGAAAGTTATAGATAGACTTTTTCCTTTTTTCTGAAATATTTTATTACTTTATTACGAATTGCATTTCATTCGAAATAATTAACATTTCATATTTCAAGAAAAAATTACTCGAAACAGATAATGTTATTTATTCATACAATCTAAAAGTTAATTTTCGCAGCAATTGAGTAACTTTAAAATGTCTCGATGTTTACTTATAAATGTCACATCTGTCAACATATTTTATATTAAATACGAATGAAATAACCACAGCTGCAAATTTTCAAACATAACAAAGAAAGATATTTTCTATTAATATTTAAAATCCAAAAATAATACAGTATAAAATAATAGTACAAAATGATAATTATAAAATAAATAAAAATTATGTGATATGTAATAAATATCTAATTAATAAGCTTACAGCTGGAAATACTCAAGACTGTATGTCTTTCGAGAAAAAAAGAGAACCATAGAAACACGAGACGATTAACCACTTTTGTACAACCGAGCTTGCTAGATAGCGGTAGACCCTCAGCCAGAGGGTGAATTTTTTTCGATACGAAGTGCGTGCGGGCACGTCACCCTTAGCACCCTACCCCTAACCGCCGTGGCCGATCGACTGTCGAACAGGTTTTCTCGATCGGGCTGAGAGAGGGTCGATCCGAAAGCCGCAGGTGCAACGAGCGAAAAATTGAAGCCGCCTCACCCCTCCTTCCCCTCCGTCGGCGAGGGCACGGGGCACTATTTGGTGAGGTTTTTCTCCCTTCGGGAGGGTAATGCGCGTCCTGAGACCGCGACTTGCCGCGAGGGTGCGTGAAAAACAGAGACCATAGGTACCTCACGTAGACGACAAGAGGAAGAGCGGGGGAAGAGCGGGGAAATGCCGTGGGACAATCGAATTCGCAACATGGTCACCGGCCCTACACGATTGTCTCTCTCGCTCTTATTATCGCTTCGCGTCAGTCCTCGTTCCCTCACTTTCTCTATCCTTCCGCGGTTTTCTCTTCCAACTTGTCCCTCCGCTCGACCTCCCCTCAAGTCCGTCCGTCCCTCCCATTCGCGTTCTCGAAGGCAACGAGGGCATTACGTCCAATTACAAGAAGCTTTCAGCAGATCAAATTCGGGATGGCGGAGTTTTGATCACGACCCAGAAGAGCGGCTTGGATCAATTAGAACGAGTTCCTCCATCCGCCCTCCATGTCCCGTAAATTCGTTTTCGCGGTACGCTCGCGACGACTCCGCTTTCTTCCTTTATCCTTTTGATCGAGCTCACCGGACCGTGAGGTGTCCCTTCAACTTCGCTCGGTTGCAACCCGCGCTCGGAATTGACTGATTGAAAGTGACGTTCGCCCAGTTAAAGGAACGCGACACAATCGCAGTCGCGATAAAAATTATCTATCGATCGATCCTATCGCGAACGGTCCGTTTCGAGCGCGAATTCGGTCGCGCCGTAACTCGGGATGCATCCGATCCTTATTATTCGACCGTGCGCTATTTGCGCGATATTATTTCCGCGCTATTGAAATTCTTATCGCGCGCGACGCTATATATCCGTGCGGAATATTTCCGCGTCGTTCTTCGTGTACGACGCGGCATAGGCGTTTATTCAGTCGGTGGGCATTAACGTGGACGGCGACAGCGACAGCGACTACGAGGTCGTCATGAAAATTACCTATGCGGGGTGGAGGATTACTTATGCGGGGTGGCCGGCGGGACGGTGTAGGGATGCAGACGATGTGAAAGCTCAACTACCGTGGAAAAATAAATGTGCCGTCTGGCCCCGAGGGTGAGTTGGCCATGGAGATCGCAGTTTCAGAGAAACTGCGCTTAAATTACGGACGACCGGATTAATCGCGTTTGTCTTACGTGACCTGTCCGAGGCCTTGTGGCTGCCTTGCAAGACAAAATTAGCTCTCACGCTATCACGAAGGGGAAGGGGGAAGGGGCACTTTATCGGAAATAATTCTTCTCTGCCGTGGAAATAATTCTTGTTTACACTTTATTGTTCGCGCGGCGGCGCGTGGCTGGATGACGTCGTTTTGACGACAGTTTTCAGATACTTTTCCAGAGCAAAGGCACACGACTCGCATCATACTAAACATACATAAAAATAGGGAATGGGGAACGTACCAAAGAGATAGGAACGGAAAATATTAAACTGCCCGCGCCTGCGAGAGCTATTCGCCGCGAAACTTATCAGTCCCAATGAACTCGTCGTTTTTCTTATTTTACGAAGCAAAATGAAGTTCATTTCTGGCTCGCACTTCACGGCCTTGCGTGGGAACGCACACGGCGACGCGGCTGGCGCGACCGACGACCCGTCGGCGTAAATTGCACCGTAAACTGCATCGCGCTACGGCCTTTACGAACGATCGAGCAATTACAGGTCGACCGTAACGGCAGGCTCTCTCGAGCAGGTCGTTTCGTCAGCGGCATCGCACGGCCGACTTCTGTGTACCGACTTTGTTGTTCTTACATACTCTCCTCTCCCTCCCCCCCCCTGCCTCCCCGCTCGCCCGCGTAACTGCACGCAATTCCTGCATCGCAAATCTCTCCCTCACGTCCCCTCACCCCGCGGAACCATCTTTCTCACTCTGTCTCTTTTCCGCACCTATCTGCCTCCTATCCCCGCGAAGCGTCTCGCCCGCGACCACACGCCAATAAACAATGAATACATGAATATGAAAATTTTCATGAGAATTTGCCGGTGTATGTACGCACCGTGGCTCCACGCTGGAACCTCGAATGAACGCAGTAGCTGCATGACGGCGTTGCACTCGGCTGCATCATCGCGCATCGCATCAATCTGAGTGAGTGAATCCAGTGCCGATCGGAACGCGTAAATCTGCGATAGCGCGATTGAAACGAAAATTAAGGTAAGAATTGGATTTAAAGGTAGACGTACAAAACGACGTATTTTCCTCTGGGACTATCTCTGACGTCTAAGCCTGGCTTGGATCTTCCTCGCTATTCCTCGTAACGCTTAATCTAATACGGTATTAGATTAAGAAAAACGGCCGACAGTACGATATTGTAATGATATATGCAAAACGAATAATCTTTAAAAATTTTATTCACATCTCAAATAAAAGGATTAAATCCTGTACGGTGCGCAGGATTTAATTGTGGATCGTAAAAATCTCATACGCAACAATTGCGCAAATAGAAATTCTGATAAACTAAAAAAAAATATAACGTTATTTCTGCACGAATCGCATTTCCGCCGAATGAAAAAGATGTTATTGCTTGGATACATAATGTCTCACGTTACGTAACGGAAACTGATACTACTAAATATATACGTTAGAAATATGTTCTACGTAGACATATTACATTTGAAATTTAAGAGCCGCATAAATCCAGTCAAGAACTATCAATTCCGTTCCAAACATCCAAAGTTACAAAAAGCGAGTCGGGTCTTCGTCCAATTAGTGCGACCAAAAAAGCAGATACTCATCGCAGACGCAAACTCTGGAAAAAATAAAAAAAAAAAAAGAAAAAGAAAAAAACAGATCTGCCATGCCTAGCCCGCGTATGAAAAGAATCGACATTAACGCCGATAGAAAACAAACCTCTGACGACTGCGTCGCGCGATGGGGAAAAAATGCAGCGCAGCGCAGCGCACAGA